TCAGGTTCAACGTACAAGTTGCTTAAAACGTTGCGCCTTATTGAGGATAGAGCGGTTGTTTTCTCAAGAGAGGATTCGCTCGATATTGTGCGCAGTAAGGCGCTTGAGACAATGAAGAAACAGCAGCAGAAGAACGAAAAAATCTATAATTTGCGGTCGCGTGAGGTTTCTTATTCAGTTGGACAAGAAATCTTCCTTAGAAATTTTAAACAGAGTAATTTTCCAGCCGGATACAATGCAAAGTTAGGACCAGCTTTTGTGAAAGCGAGAGTTCGACGTAAACTTGGAAATTCTTATTACGAGGTCGAAAATTTGCAAGGGAAAATACTGGGTCGTTATCATGCGAAAGACTTGCGTCAGTAAGAATTTGTTTTCTTGCAGCGTCTGGTGTTTTCAATCTTGCGTTTGCTTTGAAACCCAAGATTGAATTTAGCAGGGGGGAATTTGTAACGACGCTGGCGGCGAATATCGTAAATTAAATTGCATTCCCTTAGTCAAGCAGTTCATTGGCTATTTATGTTTACGCACTGCTTGTTTAGTTACGGTTTGAATTGGCGATTCGTCTTAGCGCCAACTGCCTATGATCGCATTTTTTATTATTCTTGCCTTAGCAGACGAAACAAACAAATTTTCCATAATTGTTTTTATATATGTACAAAAAAAAATTATTTTCTGCAGCCGCACGGCTATCGGCCACCTATGGGTTATTTTCAGTATTGCTCAGTGGCAATATTTGCTAGTTGTCAGTGGCCCTTTCTTCAACCTTGACCTGTCAAAGGGAGATTGTCAGAAGAGGGGGTGAAGCAATTTCCGCAAAGAAAAGTTTTCTTGCGTAGCCTCGGCATCCGGATACTTTCTTTTCGCTTGAAGATCGCATGGGAGCAGGTTGTGCCCAATATACTCTGGCTGGCAAATATATGGTCATACATATAGTATAACCTATAGTCCGTTTCAAATTCGGCTGGGCCAAAGCGTTAAGCCTGCTGCAACAAATTTGGAGAATTTGCAGTAATCTTTCACTTCAATTGTGTTAGCAAAAGGAATTCTGCCTGGTGCCACTTCCGGATATCGGGTAAATTTTACTTTTTCCGTTTATTCGCATATAAAATGCAAAAGCTAATGCTATTTCTTCATTGTACATTGTTTTCGTGCAGAATTGGCACTTAATAAAAAGTCCAATCCCCATAAAGGGCATTAACCTTTGCTTATCGCTTTGATGGGCACTTGCTAGAGCGACGACTAGGAAAAGGGAAGTGCACGGGAGAAGGAGGCGTGCTAGAAACGAGATCGGCGCTTCGCTCAGGCCACTGGAACGGCGAAAAGAATCACCGCCTCAGTTGCGTGGATCATATCCGATATGACGGTCGTCGGCTTAAGCTAGGGCACCTGTTTTTTTTGTTGCGTTTCCGTGCACCGAAAAGGTGGCGAAGCCCCAGGTGGCTTTAGTGAAGAGGGCCTGCGTAAAAAAAAAAAAAAAAAAATTATAAAAACTATATATATGTAAAACTATACACAAATGTGGGCCCTGCAAAAACAACAAAAAAAGTGCAACCGAGAGAACTAGGCATTTATTTTTTTTCTATTCTTTCGTCTTATATTCTTTTTTTTTGGGTCGTATACGGCCTTATACTTAAATTGATCTATATCCGATGTGAGCAAAGCAGCACGGCCGGGTGTGTAGAGAGGGAAAAAAAAGAAATAAGTGAAAACCAAAGAGAAAAAAAAGAAAAGAGAAGGCAACAAAAAAAAAAGGCAAAACAACAAATAAAAACCCCTTTGACTATACGTTTCGAAATAAAATTTTATTAAGCATGGCGACAAGTGAAGGTATGAAAAGTGCATGTTTTTAAAACCAAAATTTCAACATAAAATTTTACAAACAAATTAAAAATCATAATTAATGTGCATGTAAGCAGCAACGAGCCTATGCAGAGCGCCTCAACGGAAAGATCTTTCGACGTTGGACGACAACTGTAAGTAGAACCGTTTGAATTTTATTTACTTTCATGCAGAAGAGCACGCGTACAAAAACAAAAAAAAAAAATAAATAAAACACCTGTTCATATGCGTCATATGTCTGCCTGCTGGCCATGTAAAGTCTAATTTCCGCATTATTATTATTTTTTTTTAAATCACCGTAATAACGTTATACTTGATTGCGGTCATTACTTACTTAAATTTATGGCCAATCTTTACAAAAAAAAAAAAAAGCGATGCAAGAATTTATAACACTTTAAATATCAACACTTTCTCTTACATCAAATTTTTTTCCTATTATATTACGATCCATTTCAATTATTAACCATCTCTTACAGCCAAGCCGTTGCTTTACTCACCTTGCTCAATTTATATTTACACTAGTATTTTAAGGCAGTCATATGTTTACCTATTCTGCTACTGGCTACGAATCCAGTGATAATTAGCTTTAGATTTCTATTATCGGTTAATGTACGGTCACTTTTTTTTGGAATTCCTTGAAAATTATGATTTTAGTTTTTAATAAAAAGTTTATAATGTTCGCTTAAATTCCGCCTAACATTGATTTCCGCTAGCCACAGCATGTAGAGGTTCAAAGGGGTCATTTGCATAATTGTTTTTGGATATAAATGACCAAGGATGGGTGGGCCAATACTTCCTCAACACCATCAGGGGAATACCAGAGGTGTGTTCACTTGTGTTACGTGGTCTGCCAACCCGCGATCCTTTTGTTAGTCATATTCATGTATATCTTTACCGGTTTTTTTTTGGCTTCCCCACAGCACGCTTTAACTTTAAATAATAAGCTTAATGAAAGGCCGTATGATTGGAGAGACCTCGAACACCACCCACTAGCCGACGAGCCCGAGCCGGAACATATAGCGTGCGCTCTCCAACATACACACACCATCTCGCCTACTCTACTGGGATATGTCCTATACCCGTTACAACTTCGAGCTTTATGCACTTACAATTTTTATTTACATTTGCATAAATTTCATTGGTGCTTCTCATATATTACATGTTTGTTTTATTGTTGTGCTTCTGCGTTCTTCTTTTTCCGGTACATGCTTCGCAAGTTAATGTTTTTTGAAATTAAGTTTTCTGCACATTTTCCATTTGTTATCAGAATTGAAAAGTAAACCTATCGTCAACTTTAAGGTGACCATTAAATGATAAGCAACAAACATGTAACTGCATAGCAGCTATTGGCTCTACTCAGCTTGCTTTTTGAACACCTTAGAGTTGTACCAGCCTCAAATTGCACTCTTGAATCGTTAATTTAGTTAAATTACTATCATGACGCTCACCATCTAAAACACTCATCAGGGATCGCTAAAGAGACTGGAATCAATGTCCTTATCGAAATACATTACCTACAGCTTCTACTTCAACTTTGTAATAATTGGGCTAAGCAGTGCTTAGTATCTGCACATACAAGTATAGCGCCCTATAGAAATGTTGCGTTACTCGTACTCTCATCTTGAGTATAACATGTATTTTAGATGCTTGACCAACAGGGTATTCACCTGGAGATCCTGTAGTGAGATTTAGTAATTAATTATGCACATACAGTTGGTAGTCAAATTTCAATAGGCAAGATTCAGATTGGAAAACTCGAAGCTTATGATATTCGGTAGATGTTTTTTAATCAGAGGGATACTTGTTTAACGGTGTGTACTAGTTTGTTCAAATTAATTAGAGCAGATTATTTGATATTGAAGAATTTAATACTAACTGTAATGCATACAACTAATGTGATATTTATCATTAAGCAAACGCGAAGTTTATATTGTAAATAAATATTATGGAGGAACTAGAGATTAGTATTTAGTTAAGACCATTTAAGTTTATTTCCCGATAGCCGTCTGGTTGGAAAATCAAACAAATTCCAAGAAGGAAAGATAGTGTTAAATTAGCTTAACTTACAAATATTTTTCAAAAAATTTCGCGGGCTTAAAAAAAGTCCCATTGAGGCTGCAGATATTCAAAAACGCTTTTCACTAGCACCACTTTGTACAAGACCTTTCATAACACTTTGTGTTAGCACCAAATCCAATTGAAATTGTCGAGTTAAGGCAATTAAGTGAAGCATGCACTTCAACTTAAAAATGACGCGTGCAAGGGCATGACTTCATTATAAGGCGCAGGAACTGTGAACGTATATATTTACAGTTGAAAGAAGTAGTTGCAGGCAACGGAGACGAGAATGTCGGTGCCCAAACGCCGTTTCCGATCCCATTCAGTATTGTCTTCTTTCTATGGCGTTGTTGTAGTTACAAGAGTCATGCTTTTGTCCTTATTGTTGGACTTGTTGTTGTTGGCGATGCCGTTGCCGTTCCCATTGCTGGCAAATGAAATTAAAGCTTTTCCAAGCAATAAATTACGAGTTTTTATGACGCTACAAAAGAACCCGCCAAAAAGTATGCTATACTCGTATATGTGTGTATGTATTGAGTGCCCGACTGAATCGTAAGAAAAAAGGGCAATATGGCAATATACAGAGCGTGTAAACTGAGACTGAGTCGCAAAACAAGTATGACAATGGCTGGGGAGTAAGCAGAGATTCGAGGCAGGCCATCGACAGCAGTAAAGTTAAGTGTTGGCCAAGCCAAGTCGCAATGGTCCTGCAAGAAAGCGCGTGTGTGTGTGAGTGTGCGTTTTACTGGCCACACTCCAACCGACTGGCTGCACACAAAGCAAATTATAATAATTACACCAAGCGTAGCCAAACAAAATGTTCAATTTGATACATGCAGACAAAGTTGGACGTCACGATGGCGTAGGCTGGCAGCCGAAGCGCCATTTTATGCTAAGCACCACCCCCCTCATGACCATACAGCCACTGCTCGGGCTTATGTTACATTGGCATAAAAATACGTTAATCACAAGCTGATAAATTGCCAGCATAACTGCGCTGGGCTTTGATTTATGCCCCGCTGCGGCTGCGCCCCGTTGGGCAATTATGCAAATGATGGTTTTGCTCCTCCCAAGCTCTCCAAGTGGCCATCTATTGTACTTACTTGTTATATAGCACAATATCCGGCAGCCATATATGCTCAGAGGGCACATGCAGCGTGTCCACGCCGCCATAATCATCGGGATTCCATTTCAATTTGTAGTCATTCCATTCCTGCAAAATACACAAATTTATGCAAATATTTTTAACCAAAATAGTTTAACAATTATGTATATTCTATTATGCAATAAGTTTAAAAATTATCAGGACAACTATAGAATATTATAATTGGCATAAGCAAAAACCATTTAGCTCTACTACATATTCTCGTGGAATTTGCATATGAATTTAATATTTGTGGTCGATAGTAATAACATTAACAATTACATTGCCCGAAGGTTCGTTTAATGTTGGTTTTGTTGTTGTTGATGCTGCTGTAGCTATTATAATTACGTTTATTTGCTTTTCATTTCATTAATTATTCATTAATTTATTGGCCGCTAAGCTGTTGGCATTCAATTAAATTTTCATAATCAAACGGGCGTGTGCAGTTAGTAATATTTTTATTTTTAATTCTCCATAAATGAATTTGCATTAAATGCCATACTCAACATTTATACTTGTAAGTATAGAATTTATGTAAGTAATTATGAACAACTATGTTACTGCAATTAGTTCAAGATATCCTTTTTGCCAAATAAAAATGGATTTCCTATTTTTATAAGTAACATAACATTTGCATTACATTTGCATGTGCATTTTTAAGTAATGTTTATTACTTTCCATCAATACGTGGAGCTGATTTTTTTTGGGTTTGTGCACTCTTTATCCTTTTTAATTTTTTATTAACTATACAACAAGTTCATTTATGGTGTTAAAAAAATATAATTAAAAAGTTGCCATCTTTGATTCGTCAGTCAATGCTTTTAAATCTTCACATAATTGTGGATATGGCCAATGAAATCGTAACTAAACAATATAAAAAAAATGAAGCGTGAAAACTATTAATTAAATTCCTTATTCTTCTTTACCTAGACACTACAGGAATAGTTAGCCTCAAGTAAATGAGCAGTGAAGAGGCAAATAAAGGTTTGAACAAACGAACAAAATTCGCCACACCGTACAAGATGCTCATGGGCCGCTCTTTGCAAAGTTTCCGCACTTTAATTTTTAATTTGTCTTTAATTTTCAAACATCATTTTTTATCATGTCAGCCATGGTTACAATTCGCGACGTACAAGTGATGCAACATTCTGCAGACATTCTAGAATCCGACGACTTTGACTCAATTAGCCATTTTTTTTATTTTACAATTATTCATTGTGTCTAATAGTTTAAATTCTCTTAAAGTGGTTTTAAATGTTATATTTGGCTTTAGATAATAGTTCTGCTTGATTATTCCTTTCTTTTTTATTAATTTGTTTGATTGAAATACTTTTGGAGTATTTTATTCATTTGTTAGCTGTGCTGTGTGTTGGCAGAGCATTTAAAATGTATTAAATTTTGTTAGCAATTAACCAGCCAACGTTTAATTATATAATTTTATATAAATTTGATGCTCATTTATTTAACATATTTCGTCGATATTCGCAATTTTTTTTGGCACGCGCTTTTATTTTTATTAAATATACATATTGGACATTTAATTACGGTTGACAGATGCAGGCACACGATGCAAACTGAGCTGAATGGCAATAAACACACACATGTACATATAATAATTTACGCACATATTTATGTGTTTGTATGTGTGCTTGTGATTTTGCGTGTGCACGCATTTGCCGTTTTATTGACACACTGTTGCATATTTATGGGCGTTCCACGAAACCAAACCAAACACAAACACAACTTGCAGCAACAACAATAGCAACATTAGCTTGGTATGCTTAATAGTGCAAAATACACATTAATTTTCTATATTCAATGGTAGCATATGAATAATTTACATTTAATTCCTAGTCAGGCTAAGACAATAGTCGACTGTTCACAGAACTTCAAAATGAAATTGCTAAGAATTTAGCATAAGCTGCAAATACTATATTGACTGCCAAAGTATTTGAAGAGTTTGAAAGCAGCTTTACAGAGTGAAAAAGTTTAGGGCTGGACCCTCGGGACACCAAAATGCAAATTGATATTTTTATCTTCTCTTCGTCTGAGCTTGCTGGAAAGTTTGTCGATTAGTGCAAATCCATTGCACATGCAACTGCAGCTGATGTTGACCATCATTCACTTATCCAAAGCCAAGAGCCATTGCATTAGTAACAGGAATTTGGAATCGGGAGGGCTCAAAATATTTGACATTTGCAGGCAGCCACGCGAGCGTAGCCTTTTAACGCCAAATGGCAAAATCATGTTCAGCGGAAGGCTGCGCGATTGAGGTCAACATCTTGCTGACAAATAATTCAATATACAAGTATAGTACATACTCGTACAAGTATTTGTGGATAGCAAATTACACTACAAATATGCTGCACTTACCTGCTCTACCCACACATTTGTTGTCATAATTTGATTTTTAAGATTCTGTAAAGAAGGAGAAAATAGATAAATGTTTTTAGAAATGCATTCTTTATTTAAACGGTGGATTATAATTTTTTTTAAATTGCAATAATTCTACAATAATTATTATTATATAACTCTTTTTGAGCAAATTGACTTATTGAGAACATTTTTGAAATAACTAATTGCAAAATTCTGTTCTTATATTCATTAGAATAATATACTACATGCAAAGAATGTGTGGGTGTAAGTGGTTTAGTGATTAAGTTGTTAACTCTTTGCTTTCTTTCGAAGATTGCTTCCCAAATCAATTGTGTTGGGATAAAACCTTTCTTAGCTACATCTTCAACTCCATGTACTCTTTACAAAATGTATGAAATGTTTATAATAAAAGCCAGAATAAATACGTTTTTGTATATTGCTAGAAATTTAAATAAATTAACACAAAATTAGCAAATATCGGGAAAATGTATTTTGTGCCATTGTATTTTGTGAATCCATTGAAAGTCCTGTTCCTCTCCTAGGTACTTTTACATTTGCGAAATAGGTTTTCGAATACTTCATTATTTCTTGAGTATACATATACTTTTTCTATTCAATACATAACTTTAGCACTATTTTATTCTACCATTTGAATTTGGCTCAATTCTTATCAGATTAACGTAAAGCTGAGTAATCCAGTTGGAGCCAACCACTTTATCTTATCAATATGAGTGCAGTGCAGTACGCTTTGGCAATTTAAAGTTGGAGCGTAATTCGATTTTCTGAGTAAATCAAACAAGAATTTGAGAACTAAGCACTGTAAGTTGATTGTAGGAAGGCTGAGGGGTTTGTGCACTTGCGACAAATTGAAAATCGAGTGCGTGCTGTCATATTGGCAATCGGGAATGGAGCTGGTTGCACCGACATTGCTTATTTTTAGCGACAAACACTTAACGAACTGATGCTGCAACTTCAGCTGCAAGTACTTTGGTAACTTTACTTCTATTAGTGATGTTCTTTGTGTCGACTTACGAGCCCGATTGGGTATGATTGAACAGATGGCAAGTTTTGAGTAAAAAGGAGCTGTTGCTTAAACTTGAAGTTAGCTCCTTCAACAAGTTGCAGTCGTACGAATTTGAAAACATCATCGATTCTTCAACTTACAGGGATGTATGTGCTCAGATGCAATTAAAACTTATAGCAGCTAACAAGCACAGAGTTTAGGGCTTGTGATTAGCAGAGAAATTGGTTAGAACTTCAACGAACTCTAACCAGCAGGCTGCGGGTTCGAGTTCATATTTTGGGAGCACTTGATAAGTGAACTGATCAATTTAACGAACACTACTTAGAAATGGGTTCGATGATTTTATATATACCGCCTATTGAAATAATTTGTAGAATATTCCAAGTCATATGGACACAGTACCAAAAGTCAAACCGGTATACTAAATACTTTTGTATAAGTATACCATTACCAATAATTGTCGAACAAATAATCAGCTTTAAAAGGCCTATACTTGGGAAATATTTGTTGAATAATATTGGCAACAGATTGTCTTTATATTGTTTTTAGATCGTCGAATTGAATAGCTTTCTTTTCTTAGCTTATAATTGAAGTTATTCAGATATTTTCTGTATTATAAGCCCTTTACGTTGATTCATCATAAGAAACTTGATGATTTAATTGTCAATACACAACCTCTATGTAATTGAAAGGAATTTGCATTTTCAATAGACTTTCAAGTATATCGCAGAAAGAGGGAATGGAGCAGAAAATATAAAATAAATATTCGTTTCTGTAAGCTCAATCAATAAGTAAAGTTCCAATACAAGTATGCCGCTCTACTTTATGCTGAAGAGGATACACACACATACAAATAAATATGCATACAAATGCTTTTACTCTCAAAAAAACCTTCATCCTTCTTGCTTTCCAATTTTATTTACCTCTCCTCTGGGTGCACGCACAACTTATTACAATACTTTTATTGCAGCTTCCTTTCATCTCACATATCCCTCTAATGCCGCATCCACAAGCAGAAGCAACTCATTAAGTATAAATGTGTATGTAGGTATGTTTGTGTGTGTTCGCGCTATTCTGTGTCGTGCGCGGCACGTAAACTCAATAGAAAAAAATTAGAAAACGATAAAATTGCGGAATAAATCACTTAAGCGTTGAAAAATGTAATTAACGACAAAATGATAATGATGCGAGTAATGCGTTTCGCTTCCACCGTTTCCACAGCAAGCAGCAGGCCAACAGACCAGCAGGCAGCTAAGCCAACCAGTGTAACGGGTATAGGACATATCCCAGTAGAGTAGGCGAGATGGTGTGTGTATGTTGGAGAGCGCACGCTATATGTTCCGGCTCGGGCTCGTCGGCTAGTGGGTGGTGTTCGATGTCTCTCCAATCATACGGCCTTTCATTAAGCTTATTATTTAAAGTTAAAGCGTGCTGTGGGGAAGCCAAAAAAAAAAAACCGGTAAAGATATACATGAATATGACTAACAAAAGGATCGCTGGTTGGCAGACCACGTAACACAAGTGAACACACATCTGGTATTCCTCTGCTGGTGTTGAGGAAGTATTGGCCCACCCATCCTTGGTCATTTATATCCAAAAACAATTATGCAAATGACCCCTTTGAACCTCTACATGCTGTGGCTAGCGGAAATCAATGTTAGGCGGAATTTAAGCGAACATTATAAACTTTTTATTAAAAACTAAAATCATAATTTTCAAGGAATTCCAAAAAAAAAAGTGACCGTACATTAACCGATAATAGAAATCTAAAGCTAATTATCACTGGATTCGTAGCCAGTAGCAGAATAGGTAAACATATGACTGCCTTAAAATACTAGTGTAAATATAAATTGAGCAAGGTGAGTAAAGCAACGGCTTGGCTGTAAGAGATGGTTAATAATTGAAATGGATCGTAATATAATAAAAAAAAATATGATGTAAGAGAAAGTGTTGATATTTAAAGTGTTATAAATTCTTGCATCGCTTTTTTTTTTTTTATTTGTAAAGATTGGCCATAAATTTAAGTAAGTAATGACCGCAAACGAGTATAACGTTATTACGGTGATTTAAAAAAATAATAATAATGCGGAAATTAGACTTTACATGGCCAGCAGGCAGACATATGACGCATATGAACAGGTGTTTTATTTATTTTTTTTGTTTTTGTACGCGTGCTCTTCTGCATGAAAGTAAATAAAATTCAAACGGTTCTACTTACAGTTGTCGTCCAACGTCGAAAGATCTTTCCGTTGAGGCGCTCTGCATAGGCTCGTTGCTGCTTACATGCACATTAATTATGATTTTTAATTTGTTTGTAAAATTTTATGTTGAAATTTTGGTTTTAAAAACATGCACTTTTCATACCTTCACTTGTCGCCATGCTTATTAAAATTTTATTTCGAAACGTATAGTCAAAGGGGTTTTTATTTGTTGTTTTGCCTTTTTTTTTGTTGCCTTCTCTTTTCTTTTTTTTCTCTTTGGTTTTCACTTATTTCTTTTTTTTCCCTCTCTACACACCCGGCCGTGCTGCTTTGCTCACATCGGATATAGATCAATTTAAGTATAAGGCCGTATACGACCCAAAAAAAAGAATATAAGACGAAAGAATAGAAAAAAAATAAATGCCTAGTTCTCTCGGTTGCACTTTTTTTGTTGTTTTTGCAGGGCCCACATTTGTGTATAGTTTTACATATATATAGTTTTTATAATTTTTTTTTTTACGCAGGCACTCTTCACTAAAGCCACCTGGGGCTTCGCCACCTTTTCGGTGCACGGAAACGCAACAAAAAAAAACAGGTGCCCTAGCTTAAGCCGACGACCGTCATATCGGATATGATCCACGCAACTGAGGCGGTGATTCTTTTCGCCGTTCCAGTGGCCTGAGCGAAGCGCCGATCTCGTTTCTAGCACGCCTCCTTCTCCCGTGCACTTCCCTTTTCCTAGTCGTCGCTCTAGCAAGTGCCCATCAAAGCGATAAGCAAAGGTTAATGCCCTTTATGGGGATTGGACTTTTTATTAAGTGCCAATTCTGCACGAAAACAATGTACAATGAAGAAATAGCATTAGCTTTTGCATTTTATATGCGAATAAACGGAAAAAGTAAAATTTACCCGATATCCGGAAGTGGCACCAGGCAGAATTCCTTTTGCTAACACAATTGAAGTGAAAAATTACTGCAAATTCTCCAAATTTGTTGCAGCAGGCTTAACGCTTTGGCCCAGCCGAATTTGAAACGGACTATAGGTTATACTATATGTATGACCATATATTTGCCAGCCAGAGTATATTGGGCACAACCTGCTCCCATGCGATCTTCAAGCGAAAAGAAAGTATCCGGATGCCGAGGCTACGCAAGAAAACTTTTCTTTGCGGAAATTGCTTCACCCCCTCTTCTGACAATCTCCCTTTGACAGGTCAAGGTTGAAGAAAGGGCCACTGACAACTAGCAAATATTGCCACTGAGCAATACTGAAAATAACCCATAGGTGGCCGATAGCCGTGCGGCTGCAGAAAATAATTTTTTTTTGTACATATATAAAAACAATTATGGAAAATTTGTTTGTTTCGTCTGCTAAGGCAAGAATAATAAAAATGCGATCATAGGCAGTTGGCGCTAAGACGAATCGCCAATTCAAACCGTAACTAAACAAGCAGTGCGTAAACATAAATAGCCAATGAACTGCTTGACTAAGGGAATGCAATTTAATTTACGATATTCGCCGCCAGCGTCGTTACAAATTCCCCCCTGCTAAATTCAATCTTGGGTTTCAAAGCAAACGCAAGATTGAAAACACCAGACGCTGCAAGAAAACAAATTCTTACTGACGCAAGTCTTTCGCATGATAACGACCCAGTATTTTCCCTTGCAAATTTTCGACCTCGTAATAAGAATTTCCAAGTTTACGTCGAACTCTCGCTTTCACAAAAGCTGGTCCTAACTTTGCATTGTATCCGGCTGGAAAATTACTCTGTTTAAAATTTCTAAGGAAGATTTCTTGTCCAACTGAATAAGAAACCT